AATTAATCAGATAAACGCATGGGTAGCTAGTTTTAATAATAATGCGGAGTAGTGGGGAAGGAACTGCCATTATATGGATTGGAGCTCGGCAGGCATTCATGCTTTATTCCTTCCTTAAAACAACCTGCTACTCTGTTATTAGTTTCATTTTTTACTTAGCCGGCCGGCTCTTTCTCATGTAATACTTTACAAAAAATATAATAAAGAATTCATTTGATTTTTAAAAAAATATGTGTTTATTTTTGTAATGATACACTACTTGCTTGCCTACGCTTATAAAAAATATATATATTTAAAATTGTTCTACATCATAAGCTATTTTACATTAATAAAAAAACATTCTAATCCTTTTGCTCTTCAGAGGTGCCAGCGTAATTATTATTGATTGTGACATTAATAACATTAGCGCTTTGTGAAAAGAAAGGAAGAGTGGGAGTTACCAGTCTAGAGGTAGTATGTAGTTCGGCAGTTGACGGTGTTGTTGGTCTTGATTTCATATATATTTCTTCAGAACTTCCAACAACCTTAGATATCTTCTTAGATGGGTTATCACTTGATCGTCTCTCTGAAGTAACTTCTGGAGTGGAAATATTTGAGGATTCCGACGCCTCTTGTGATGCTGTATCAGCTTTGCTCAACCTTTTAATGCTCTCATTATGTTCGAATGGGAGTTCTAGCAAAAATGGTCAAAGGTGCGGTGCATGAATTTTACAAAATAGATTTGGTGTTAATAAATTGCGAAGCTTGCTTCCTAAAAGCATAATTACCAGGTTTCATCCAGAACATCGTTGAGAACTTCTCATATATCTTCTCCCCAATCAAACTCTTCTTAACTCCAGTCCCTTTTCTATAGTTTTTTGCTGTCTAGTAGAGGGTATTAATAAGTATATCAGCCAGATTCTGCGTGTTAACAAAGTTAACGCTATGCAAACCACAAGTAAGTATTACTAACCCTAAATGCTTTCACAAGATTCTTAAATTTTTTTTGACATTCCTCGCCTATGAAATAGTTTATATTCTCTTGTTCGTTTATCTTTTCAGCAACACTATCCCAAAAGAGACATTTCTTTTTATTTGGAGTGCTATGAAACTCGACATTTCTCTCTTTTCGTTCATT